GATTTTAAAATACCAGAAGGGGGTCAAAATATGAAGAAGCTTAAATACTACTGTTTTGGAGTTATGATATTGGCTATGAAAACTATGAACAGCCCTTGAAACATAAGCAATAAGATGGTACGAGACAGAGTTTGTTGAATACAGGGTTAATCACGAGTGCAAATGCATGTCAATATCTCATACAACTTCCTCCTTTAATTTAATTTATATAAATCAGATATGCAATAGGGGCACGCAGTTATCTCAGTCTGCGTTTCTCGTGCGAAGCTCGTCAACTAGATGCCAGGGGCAGGGGCTACTGACTTGAATATGATTCTGCCACTCGCAATGACTTCGAATCATGAAGACAAACCAGAGTCGTTCTTAATATCACGAGTTTTAATAAAGGCGGGCTTAATCATCATATTCGTGTGTCGCTCTTCTGCTGATAATTGCATAAATTAAATTAACAAGTGAAACGGGAAGTTCTGGGTAGAAAAAGCCTCAAATTCTTTTACTGGTCACAAATGTTACATATTAACAAGTACACAAGATTCTGTATGCGTATCTCATCTCACTTATACGTAATATAGGCCTATGTCCTACCCGCAAAATTCTCCTTGATTAATTACCTTCATATGATTTTTGTTAAAAGTGTAAATTACGAAGTTCCTCGTTATGAAATGCCCTTCATCTTCTGTTAATTTCTCCCCCTGATATCCCCAAGAACCTCCAATGAGAGGCCCTCAATCTACTTTGAGGCGTGTTCCACACGATGATTTTCTCGTTTCATATTGTTTAATCTCTCAAGATTTTAATTACCACACGTGAAAGAAAAAGATTCTGAACTGATCAATATGAGGAACGTTACGCATAATATCCCTTCTGGATATTCATACCCCAGCCGAACATAAGACATAGAAGTGGCTTATTAGTTTTAAAGCTTTTGTTCACGGTGGATAATACAAGCAAATTGCCTCATTTCGCTTCAATTGTACGCTGCAGATGCGGTCGACGAGAGCAGTTCCATTTACATCTACGTCTCGTCCAGTACGGTCTGGTCCGATCTTGTCTTGTCTAGTCGGACTCAACGCGGTTGTCTGACGTAATTAGTCTCTATTATAGTGAGGGTCAGGAACTGACATGGCAGCTGCAATTGATAGCAGCACGTGAACATCTGAATCACTGCTCCGAAACGATGTTCCTTCCGTTCGGTATCCGAAAGGTGTGACTAATGAAGAAGGGGTTTTGAACCCGCGGCTTAAGGGCTGCAGGCGGCCCGCCTCTGTGTCTTTGTGAACCACATGTAGGTTTGTGGTAATACTTTGTTGCCTAGTACTGAACGATTAGAAAATTAAAAGGATCGTCAATTATCCCACTAACGACTGACTTTATTTAAAAATGCATGTAATTATGTGTAAACCTGAAGGTTTCTGTCTTCTGGGTAAACATCGACCAG